GACCCAGCAGCTCAAAAATCATGCCAGGTGTGTGTGCATGCATACCCAAAATCTCAAGAGGAGAATGTAGGAGAAGGAATTGTGGCATGGCCAACCCTATGGGGGATGATTTCTCACTTTCTCTCTCTTTCTCTGATTCTGTCAAGAGCATACGCCCTATAACAAACTTAACAAAAAGGAAAAATTAGGTGCTCAATGAACATGATTCAAATGGCATTATTACTCCCTAGTGGATAATATGTCAAAGCCTGACAGTTAAAAAAAAAAAAATGGCTATTTCTCTGAGCCTGCGTTACTGCAGCTTTCACTGTCCTGGGGAGGTTGACCTCAGTAAATTCCACTCGTGCCCTGAGGAGACACATCCTGTCCCTTCTCGTGTGGGTGCCTTCTATCAGCGGCCTAGGTAGACTCCTCATCCCAAGGCGTGTGCATCTTACAAGTGCGAAAACCTTCCCCCTTCATCTCTCCACAGCCAGGGCTTCTAGAAGAAAAGACTGAGGAGTGAGCTACTTCAGTCTTCAGCTGAGTTTTACAAGGAGCTCTTTCAAGAGCACAATCTCAACATCAATGTTTTTGTCCTAGAAAACCTCTAAGTGATGAGGTCATCAAAAGTGTCATCATTTTCTTGCTACTGTGCATAGTGACAAGTCCCTGCCCGGGACGGTTTATGCAGTTCGTGGGCAGTGGCATTTCTAAGTGAGCACTGACTCCCGTGTCCACGCCGTGTCCACGCTTGCACTTTGAGCCAAATTCATTTCTTGTTGAGAAACTATATTCTCCTGCGTCTGTCTCTTCCAGGGCTCGTGTAGATGTTGAGGGCTGTGTTCCTGAGGGACCTGCTTGACATGACAGGTAATTGGTCTGCTCTGCTATGAACATGAACCTGATGGCCACAGTTAGACTAGGGAGTTCTCCTGAGGCTTTAAATGAAGCAGCCGTGATGCTTCCAACCGTACTTCGAGAAATCGGACTCTGCGCTAGATCGCCTTGCACGGCAGAAAATGCCACTAAAGGAACTGACCCTCCACCCAAGGTATGGACAGCAGGCCGATGATGCCGGCTCCAGCAGCCCCTCTCACTTCCCTCTGGTGCTCCCCTCCCACTCCTTCACGACAGCCTTCTGTGTTATTTGGGAAGACAAAGTGAATCACAGTTAAAAAACAAACCTGTCTACAGGTGCTAAGATACCACATTTAGTTTACCATGTCAGTGAAAAATAACTCTAATAATTCCATAAACTCTAACAGTTCATTCACTGGGAAGGAATACGTCACCTTGGCTGTGAGCTGGAGCAGCAGTGACCCGTGGGCCACATGCTACCTCGTTCCCCTCAGCAACTGGGGCCTGAGAGCATCCAAAAGAAAAGATATCGTTTTCACAGCAATTATCAATTTAAATCTTAGCAGCACAGAAAAACACATTGATCACAAATTCCTGAGCACTGTAATTAGGGTGCAGTTAAGACTCAGGCATCTACGACTGATGCTGCAAAGAAAAATTACAACTTGAGAAAGATAAAGGCATAAAAATATAATATACAGCTTATAAAATAGGGTATCGTAACTACCAGAGGGATTTTCAAACTGTTTCACCAGGCGTGAATTCTCATTGTCAAATACCATGCTGAGATCTCCCACACTGTTCTGTCTCTTGATCATGAACTGAGAAAGGTTAGACACTCAGTCATAATTCCTTAAATGACTTAATAAACAGTGACGGGGTGGGTGTGTAAGTGATTCCATGAGTAATTTAGTTCAAGTTTGAGTCAATAAATTTGTAAGTTCTATAAGATAGCAAGAATCGCCTTTCACATTTTCACACACGAGCCGCCTGGTGTGTATTTAGATCCTGTTAAGGAAAATGCAGTTCATGCAGTGACACTTCCCACGGTGAGTAGGAAAAGCAACGAATCTGAGAGACGGTTTATGACGTTCATGTTTGTTCAAATTTGTTTAATTATTCCACTTGGAAGAAATAGTTAAAATTATGACTTCAAGTTTTTTAAAAGTTTTCCTATTAAATTGTCTGGAAGGACAAATTCACTTGTCCAGAGTATTTAAATTGCAATTCATAAATATAGGAAGTAATTTTTAAAATACAAAATGTGATCATTTTGTTAATTTAAGGTAGAATTATAGTTCATAAGGGAACAGCTACCGAACCACATGATCAATGAAGAAGTCTCCTTTAAAGCGTCTACCTTTTTAATTACCAAACAGTTTGCAAATTTCTATCAAAATGAGTTTCTAAGACACGTGTTATGACCATTTTTTAAATTTTTAAATTTATCTTCTGAAACATTTTTAAAATTAATTTACAGTCATTCCCTAAGCATCATTACAGCATACAAAATGTGATTTCCCACCCAGGGTATACTGCATAGTGGCTTAATCACGCATGTCATCGTCGATAACTCTCCATTTCTAGTTTCATGGTTAAGATGACAGAGGACAGTTTATAGAGCTAGCAAGTGAGGCAGCCTGGTTTTTTCATTCTAAATCTTTTGCTCTTTAATCTATGTTATTTTGACACATAGAAAGCCAAGCGTAAATCAGTTTATGCCATATATTAAAAGGCTAGAAGAAAGGAAATGATTTTTTAAATGTTTAATAACTAGCTGCGGCAATCTGAAACTTTTACCAGTTTTAACATATTTACGAAGATTTCGCATGCTGCTACTGCAGAAAACCAGTCCGTTTCAGGAACTCCCGACCACCTAAATAAGTGAAGCATGAGCAGCACTCACCTTCACAGGCTGGGTTAGCTGCTTTAACAAAACTAGGAATGTGACTTGTTTAACTCAATTGCATTTTTTGAAAAACAGGCTTTTACTCATGACGAGGACTATTTAGGTCAGAAAAACTTTTATGAGGTTTGTGCAAATAGAAACTTCTAATTTATTTATTTTAACTAATTATGAAGAAATTTTTCTCTTCAGAAGAAAACATAACTATGTTGCTTAAAATTTGTCCTAGTAGCTGATGGACTGAAATCAGAAGTTTTCAAAGTAGAAACGCAAACGTCTGTAGTGTGCAGCCCCGCACCGACAGCGTTCCTCCGCAGTCCTGGCGCGCCGACCCCACCTCGCGGCCTGCCCCCCGCTGGGCTGCTTTCCCAGCCAAGGCCCTCTCTGCTCCCAAACGGAAGAGCAAGAGCGTGCGCCTTAAACAGGAGGCCTATATGCAGGGCAAGGACACTGATAAAATTTTCAGCGAAACAAATCATGGCTTCATCAGAAAATGCTCCAGTTAAAACGTAAAACCATTCCGACCGTAAAAACGTTTGGCACGCTAATTGATACAACAGAGGCGATTTTCTTCTAATTCTCTAAACATGGGCGTACACCACATGCAATGACAGTAGTATACTTACATACGAATCAAAGCAGCAATGGCCATGTTACTTTGGGAAGTGAGCAGTCAATGTCTCGGTACACGTACACGCGCGTGTGCACATGGGGCTTCTCTGCACACACACGCCAAGGAGAAAACAAAACTTCTGAGGGTGAAAATACGTGCTTTCTATTTTTGCTGGACAAATTCAAGCTTCCTTTCCTCTAACCACATGCACCCGTTTTTACCTATTATAGTATCCCTTTAAATTTTTGTCACAACACTTAAAATGATCTAAAATTTTTTATTTCTCCAAATGTTTAACCTGTCAGTGTCCCTGTCTTCTGATAGAGTATGAGTCTCATGATATTTGAGACTTGTTTCATTTATTACACACAAAACGCCTGCAACAGCAGCACATGTGCATCTGTCGACTTAATGAAGGAATAAATCAGTGAATAAGCCCGTAGTGTTTACTCTGATCACAAACGCCAGCTCGCACCTTGCCCTTCTCGCAGGTGAAGGACTCACCCAAAGGGGCGCTGTGATAGCCCTGGTGAGGACAGTGGCAGGCCCCAATCTCCTTGAGTCCCCACTTCACAGAAGTCCCGGTAGGTGGTCTGTGGGATCATTCGTTCTGCTCAAAATGCATTTTGGGGACCAGCAGTTAGCGTAATGGCTATGTCACTGGGCTCCCATGTAGTCGACTGCGCTTCGAGTCCCGGACCCGGTGGCTTAAACTCACACCAGGCACGTGTGCGTGCGTGCCCAAGATCCCAAGAGGAGAATGGAAGAGAAGGGATTGCGGCGTGGCAGGTCCTCCGGGGGGTGATTTCTCCCTTTCTATTTGTTTCTCTCTGTCTTTCTGGCGAGTGCACATGCCCTATAGCAAAAACCTCTCAAAAAAATGCATTTTGGGCACATGCTACACGTATCTTACATAATAAAGCTTGAAATTTATATATAGTAAAATTATAATCAGGTCATCATCATAAAAAATATAAAGAGAAACTATTATTATCTCATCCTCCTACAAGTAATGAGACATTCCCCCAGAAGCCCACAGAGAACTACAGAAGTGGGCAGCCGTGTGACAGCCGTGGTCTCACGATGGGAATGGGGTCGGCCAGGGGCACTGTGGTGCCGGGGCCTGGCCTGTGGTGTCACGCATGCTGCATCAGCGTTCCTGACCAGCGTCATAAAGAAAAACGTTCTTCCCTATTGACGAAGACCGAGTCTGTGGTTAAAATGTAAATGTCCACTCTGCATCACGATGGAAGCCAGTAACTAGAACCAGGTAACCAGAAGCAAAGACAAGTGCCTAATCACTACAGGTTGTTGTTTTCCCCTCTACCCTAGTAACTTCAAAACACTGTCTAGAACACTGAACTGGTTAGTTCAATTCTTAAAATACAGAGATACTATCTCATTACTCTGCACTCAGAGCATACAGATAAAGAATTAGTGATAAGACTATTTTGAGATTGCAGCTTATTATTTAAAATATTTGTTTAACATCAAATACGTGTAAAGATACTTGCCTGGCCCTTGGAGGTTACAAACTTGCTTAAGAGTTAGTCCTTGAGGAACTTACAAACCCACAGCATCTGCTCAATTTGAGTAAGAATATTTTCATGCAGACAAGTTGAAGACAATTTTAATTTCCTTTAGACAGTATTAGGGTTATCAATACAGATACAATGTGGAAGGGTCAGAACCACAACAGTGAGACACTGTCTTCCCATGACACAGTCCTTCATGGATGCACACGCTCTCTGTTCTTCACAGGTGTGTGCTACGGGACCCACAGACGCCCAATTCTACCACGATGTCAGGGTTTCTCCTCGGGGGGTTTTCGGACGTGTGGGAGCTGCGGGTTTTGCAGGTCCTGTCCTTCTCTCTGATGTACTGGATTACTCTGGTGGGGAACCTTCTCATCGTTGCGGTCACCACCATTGACCAGAGCCTGCACACCCCCATGTACTTCTTCCTCCGAAACCTGTCTGTCCTGGACGCCTGCTACATCTCCGTGACCGTCCCTAACTCCTGTATCAGCTCCCTGCTCGGCAGCAGCACCATCTCCAAGGCAGGATGCACAGCTCAGGTCTTCCTGGTGGTTTTCTTCGTCTACGTGGAGCTCCTGTTCCTCACTGCCATGGCCCACGACCGCTACGTGGCCATCTGCAGGCCCCTCATCTACCCTGTGATCATGAGCTCGCAGGTCTGCCTGCACATGACGCTGGCCTCCCTGCTCAGTGGCCTCATGTATGCAGGCGTGCACACCGGCCACACCTTCCGGCTGCCCTTCGGTCCGTCCCGTGACATCCATCAGTTCTTCTGCGACATCCCCTCTCTGCTGAAGCTCTCCTGCTCTGACACTTTCAGCAACGAGGTCGTGGTCGTTGCTTCTGGTCTGGGAATTGGCGGTGGCTGCTTCATTTTCATCATAAGATCTTACGTCCACATCTTTTCCACTGTGTTCAAGTTTCCACGTGGCACAGACAGAAAGAAGGCCTTTTCCATGTGTGTTCCCCATATCCTGGTGGTGTCTGTCTTCCTGGGATCAGGCTTTTACGTGTACCTGCGGCCAACAGCTGTGTCTGCAGCCACCCAAGATCTGGTCTTCTCTGTGTTTTACTCCATGGTCCCTCCTCTCTTCAACCCCATTATCTACAGTCTGAGAAATGAACAAATAAAACGTGTCATCACGAAAATCACAAAGAGAATGTTTTATTCAGGAAATTTATAGAAAACTGTGGACTCGCAGCCTAAGCCATTGACTGATACTCCTATTTTTAGTGACGTGGAGATAATTGATAGAGATTATTAGGCAACTGATGTGAATTAAATAAAGTTATTAACAATATATCATATATCAAATCCTTTCATGTTTGAGCTTTTTGGATAACTTGAAAATGCCTTTGGATAAAAGATCTGGTGTTAGAAAGAAGAAAATGATAACCACATGTATTTTTCAAGTTAAAGATGCCCACTGCAAAAGTCAGTCTAATAGTGTTGTCACCTGGACTGGTGAGAAACGTACACATGTTGGAATATTCACTTTTTAAGCTAAATAACATGTGATTAAATGTATAAAAGAAATTGAAATAAAAAGAAATTAAAATTTAAAAACAAAACAAAACAAAAAACCCAAAATTTAAAAAAAAGAAATTTCAAATATTATCTTTAGAAATATTTTACGTTAAAATTTTGTTCTACCTTTTTCTATTATTTAAATGTAGATAAATCTAGGGCTGGCAGGTGGTTTGGTGGTTGAGGCACTGGATTCCCACATGGCCAGCTATGGTTCAAGTCCTGGACCTGGCAGCTTGCTTTCTCTCTTTCCTTTTTTTCTTTCTCTCTGTCTCTCTCTCTCTGGTCAAATTAAAAAATAATAAATGGAATTAAATAAATAAATAAACATTTAATAAAAAGGAAAGCACGGAGAGCAGCTGTGGGCACCGGAGACAGTGTGGGAGGACGGTGAGATACGGGAGGGGAAAGGGAGTCGAGGAAAAAAGAAACAAGCATTACATTTAAGGGACATGAAACTTGAAAATTATCTGTTAATGATAACGTGTATGGTAAGATCTTTGACTGACCAGTCTACAGTGTATTCATGATGGAAAAGTCACTTGGTATGCTGTAATGATACATAGGGATTAAGTGTAAGAAATCTATTTTATACATTCTATCACTGTATGTCGCAAAGCCTATAAAATGAGTTTACTCAGCATGAACACACCCGCGCCCGCCCAGTTGAAGGTACACGTGTTACCATCAGCAGACAGTCCTCCACTTCTGAGTCCCGCAGATGTCTCACTTCTCTGTTTTTCTCCTTGGTTCCTTTCTTCTCACTCTCCCCATCTCTCACCCTCTAAATAAATAAAATATAACAATATATTTGGAGATGAAATTTAATAAGATATTAGAAAATTAAGAAACAAAACCAAAAATAAAAGTATATGTGTGTCATTCATGGATGAAGTTTACAAGAACAAATATCCCTTCCCAGTTATCTGATACGTATAAACATCACTCCTGGGCTCGCCTCACCAGCACACACTGAAAATCACTCCAAACGTGGTGCTCCAAGCAATCTTGTTTGAGTATCGCATTATTTCCTATAGTATCTACAAGTCAGGAATAGCCAGACAGCAGGTCCTAGGTCGGAGACCCTCCTGTGGTCAGATAGTGGCCAGCCCTGGGACAGCAGGGCTCTGGAATGGCCAGGAGCTGCCAGCTGCCTTGGTCTCTCTTCCCAGGAGCGTAATGCCTGCAGCTGGCTCATCACCTACCACCAGACATTGCGAAAGCCTCAGCCAAGCAGACCGTTCACCCAAGGGTTAAAACACCGAGGGAGAAGTGTTCCCAAAGCAGCGACGTGATACTCATGGCCCACAGTCCGGCCCTGCACTGCGAAACGTGACCTGCCACACCGTGGTCAGGGCTGTCACCAGGAACTGCATCAGGCACGGCTACAAGGACTTGGACTCTACCTTTGAAGGGACAGTGGTAAGAAAAGCTATGAGTGGGAGGTTTTCAGAATCACGATCTAACACAGGTTGTGTCCTGAAGAAATCCCACCCATAGGCATGCATACCCGCCTCCCTCGATCTCACCTCCCCTAGACCTTCACCTCCTATGACCCAAGGCTCAGCAGGGCAGAGTTCTAGGATTTCATCATGAGAATGACCCGGGGACGCGGTGGGGTGGGGAGAGTGAGCAGGTGCAGTCTCGTGTCATTTCCAGGTGGTACTCTTTGGTCTGAAGAAGTGCGAACCAAGGACACCTTCCCAGCCCTTCCACACACACGGGGCAGCATGACAGGCAGTGGCTGCAGGCGTGCCAGTGCCACACGGGACAGGAAGACACAGCGCAGTACGGGCCTGGCCATTCCAGAATCCAGCTAAACATGGAGCCCTGTGAGGGTCCAGTCCTGTGGCTTGGAAATACTTGACAACCTTCATCTTTCCTTTCTTCCATCTTTTAAATAAGTTTCTAATTAATGTATGTTCTTCATGAGGAAAACAATGAGAAAGACCAACAGACAGACACTCTTAACCAGGTCCTCATGCCACAATGCCCCCTGAGCCTGACAGCCAGGCAGAGCCCTGGGGCACTGCGGGCATTCCCAGTGTCCGGGGAGACCCTGGGTGTGAGCCTGACCCTTCCCACGTGGCCTTCAGCCGTGCACAGCAGCACCTCCTCAGCTTCATCCTCTGCACCCATGAGCCTCTGCTCCCAACATTTCTTCCTTTTGAATAAGACAAGAGGCTATGCCTGAGCAGACTCCCATCCAATTACCCCAGCACTGAGCAGACTCCCACCCAATTACCCCAGCACTGCATGGCCTCAAAGCCGGCATCCCTGTGCCTCCGTTCTGTGTCTCTGACTGTGCCTCTGTTTTTATATCTCTGTTCTATGTCTCTGCACTCACTGTGTCTGTTCTGTGTCTCTGTTCTGTGTCTCTGCATCACTGTGTCTCTGTCTCTGTGTCTCTGTCCTGTGTCTCTGTCTGCATCTCTGTCCTGTGTCTCTGTGCTCACGGTGTCTCTGTTTCTTGCAGAGCCTAGCAGCCCCCTAGACTACCCTCACTGCTGACAGTGAATGCTCAGGGGTTCCTAAGATGAGGTTCAATAACTTGCTGGAAGAACTCACAGAATTCACAAACAGCCTCTAACTTATGGCTATAGATTATTGAAGCAAAAGAGATACAAATTAAAATCAGCCAAAGGAAAAGCAGCATAGGACAAGTCCAGGATAGAACAGCCATTAAAATCAGCCAAAGGAAAAGCAGCATAGGACAAGTCCAGGATAGACCAGCCACAAACCCCCAGCTGTCCTGGCAGTGGACTCTTGCAGATGGCAATGCCTTCCAGCCGTAACGTGTGAGCTATGTGGAAGCTGAACTACCTTTTACAATGTAATTCCAGACTACTGTTTATTAATTCAAATGGTCACTAAAGCCTGAATATTTTTAAGGAGAGGAATGACACAATGACAAAAATGTTGATCCTGTTTGGAAAACTCAACATAGGTCATATGCTAAGATGGGTTAAATATATTTTAAATAAAAAAGGAAAATACTGCATTTAAAATGTCATTATTTGAAGAGCTGTTATATTGTTTAATGTATATATTAGCAAATAAGGCAAAAATTACTTACTAAGGATTCAAGTGAATAAGTTAGACAATACCAAATGCCACAAATGAAAAGGAAAAAAAGATCCAAAAAATTATAAAAGACTGAAAAACAGGATTTGCATGACTGGAAACATTTTAGAAAGAAGAACAGCATAAAACATAGGAAAAACAAACAAATTATTGACATTATATAAACAATTTAAAAGCATATGTAGAACATCAGAGTGAATGAGGCTCAGAGGAAGAGATCTTTTTTAAAATAAAGCAAAAAGAGCATAAGTTAGGAAAAAAGTCATTTTAAAAATGCTTGCATTAGACCCCATACAACATTTTAGAACATTGAAAATGCAAAATAAGTTTAAAGTAACAAGAATATTTTAACCATATTTATCATTCATAAATATTAATATTTATCAACATCATGCTATATTTATTTTTCATATATTAACAAAAAGTCAATACTGACAGAGAGATAAATATAACCACCCCATTCTCACCAAGTCCAACCTCATCTCTCACCCAACTTTTCCATAGCCACTCATTCATTGTTTGGTGTACACCTCGAGTACTTGCTGATACTTCTAAACTTACATGTCTCAGCAAATAGTGCAGGGATTACCACATGCTCATGGAAAGTGGAATTAAAGGACAAGTCTATTAGTGTGCAAAACATTTCAAAATCCATGCATAATTTTTTCATAATTTGCATTTTCTATAAATTTTTGAAAGATTTTAATATAAAAGATTGTCATAACTTTAATTTTTAAAAGTACATAAGTGGTTTGCTATTACAAGTTTTCTTCTTTATATTATCATATTTACTTACTGTTATGTTTATGTTATTTATTCAGGTTGATGTTAGATTTAAGTAATGTGTATTTGAAAGGAAGGTATGATGATGATTGGTGTGTAAAATACCAAAACAAAATGTCATATGTATCAACATGAACTATTAACATTTAAGTTAATAATACTGGGACCAGCAGTTAGCATAATGGCTATGTCGCTGGACTCCCACATAGTCGACCACGGTTTGCATCCCGAACCCAGTGGCTTAAAACTCACCCCGGGCACTTGTGCGTGCGTGCCCAAGATCCCTAGAGGAGAATGGAGGAGAAGGGACTGCGGCATGGCCATCCCCCCTGGGGGGTGATTTCTTGCTTTCTATCTCTCTGTCTCTGTCTGTCTGGCAAGTGCACGCGCCCTATAGCAAAAAAACTCTCAAAAAAAACCCCATTAAGTTAATAATACTGAAAAGAAAACTGTGGGAATTTGGGCACTGTCCCATCTGGCAGGCAGGGCAGATCCTTACTCTCCCTCCCTTCACATACCCCAACTGATGCCATCTATAGTGTAGCTTTCCTGCACCCTCTGAACTGAAGTGAGTGGTCCATGAGATGCCTACATTCAATGCAGAGAAGTATAATTATGAAAAAACAAGAAAATATCATGCCCCCAAAAGAAACACAATAACTCCTTAGCAACAATGGATAAAACACAGGAAATCACAGAAGTGTCAGAAAAAGAATTCAGAATATTCATCATAACAAAAATTTCCTAAATAAGACCTTTAAATTACAGCCAATAATCCCAAAAATAGACAAGTCGGATTACATCTGCACTTGTAATTTCACTTCTGCCCAACAAAGCAAACAATAACTAGAGTGAAGAGACAACTCACAGAATGGAGAAAATATCTGCAAACTATGTTTCAGATAAGGGATAGGTAACCAGAATATATAGGAAACTCAAGCAGCTTATCTAGAAAAAGTAATAATAGTTCAATTGAAAATGGGTAAATGAGATGAACTGACAACTCTCTAAGAAAAACATACAAATGGCCAAAAAGCACATTGAAAAAAAAAATGTTCAGCATCTCTTT